GGAGGACAAGAAGATATAAATGGATGGATGGGTGGCTGAATGAACAGATGGATGGATGAACAGATTGAAAGATGAACAGACTGAAGTACTGACCGATAGACAGATGAAAGGTTAGACAGATAGATGGAAGGATAGATGAATTATTGGACAGATGGTTGGCTGGATGGATGATAGATGAACAGATGAATGGTTGGATGGAAGGCTGATGATTGGATGGAAAGACAGATGAATGGATGGATGAATGGATGGATGGATTGACGGATGGACAGATTGATAGAATGAAAGCTGGATAGATGAATTCAATTCAATTCAAAAATACTTTATTAATCCCAGAGGGAAATTATTTGTTGTTGTAACTCATTATCCTCATTTCATTAAGAGATGTTATAGATGCTGATGGCTGTAGGCAGGAAGGATCACTTGTAAAGGTCCATCCCACAGTGGATCCTAAAAAACTGGCTGCAGATGCCGTCTGATCCGTCCACCCAGACTCGGCTGGCCTCTCGGTTCCTCCGGGCTTTAGGACCGCCTGAATGCTGGGCAGAACTCCTCCCAGAGCGATAGTCTCTCCTCCCAGCAGTCTGCCGAGCTCCTCGTCGCTGTGGACAGCCAACTGTAGGAGCCGAGGGATGATCCTGTCCTTCAACTGTCATGAGCCGTGTTTCTGCTAGTTCCAGGATCCCAGTTGTCAGGCACTCGAGCACAGCTGGCAGGTAGATGAGAATGTGTCCACAACTCCTTTCAACTCATTTGAGATTTGGGGCTGTAGTTGAGATATTATATGAGCTTTTGAGATGTTAATCAGCTGCTGTTGGTTGTAGAAAACTGCCTTGTTGCCATGGTTACGCATCATAAAAATGTCCAAAACTCAAAAAGTTTCAGTAAAAACCCTTCCAGCTGCACAGCATCTGATATCAGAGGAAACAATCATCCAAAAAATGTGATCTACATCCAGAAAAAGAGGAATTAAAGTTTCCAAAAGCAAAATCTCAAAATGAAAGTAACAGAGCAGCTCCAACATGCAGCCACCTTGAGCGGCACAATTCTAGAACGAAAGGATGGATGGAAGGGTGAATGATTGGTTGGAAGGACAGATGGAAGGATGGATGATTGGATGGAAGAATGGATGGATGAACAGATTGTTGGTTGGATGAAAACAGATGGATGGATGGATGAAAGAATGGATGGAATGACAGATGAATGAATGGTTGGAAGGACAGATGGATGATTGGATGGAAGGATGGATGGATGGTTGGTTGGATGAAAGAACAGATGGTTGGTAGAACAGATGGATGGATGGATGCATGGATGGATGGACGGACGAATAAACCGATGGATAATTCCTCGGTGATTGAAACATTTCATAACTTTCTTCAGTTTTTCAGCGAATGATGGTCTGTTCCAGAAGAATTTTCTTTTAGTCATTTTTATTTAATCTGTTGTTTTAATTTAATCTGTTGTTTTAATTTAATGTTATTTTAATTTAATCTGTTGTTTTTATTTAATTTGTTGTTTTTATTTAATCTGTTGTTTTAATTTAATCTGTTGTTTTAATTTAATCTGTTGTTTTTATTTAATCTGTTGTTTTTATTTAATCTGTTGTTTTTATTTAATCTGTAATTTTTATCCATCCATCCATCCATCCATTTTCTTTACCCGCTTGTTCCATTTTGGGTCACAGGGGTCGCCGGTGCCCATGTCCAGCAATCACTGTGCGAGGGGCGGGGTACACCCTGGACGGGTCGCAAGTCCATCACAGGGACACATAGAGACAAACGAGACAAACAACCATTCACTCTCTCACTCACACCTAGGGACAATTTAGAGTTACCAATCAGCCTAACATGCATGTTTTTGGTCTGTGGGAGGAAACCGGAGTACCTGGAGAAAACCCACGCATGCACGGAGAGAACATGCAAACTCCACCCAGAAAGGCCCCTGGATCGGGGTTTGAACCAGGGACCTGCTCGCTGAGAGGCAGCAGCTCTACCAGTTGCGCCACCATGCTGCCCCTGTTATTTTTATTTAATCTGTTGTTTTTATTTAATCTGTTATTTTTATTTAATCTGTTGTTTTTATTTAATCTGTTGTTTCTGATCAAACGCAGGTTTTCTGTTGATGTTTGTAACAGATCTCCAACACATTAAGCAGGTTGTCTACTTTTCCGTCCCAAACTTCGTCTAAAACAAGTTATTAATCTAAAAGCACTCGTCCGTGTTACAGTGAGCTCTGTGGATAAATCAAAACCAAAGCGTGCACGGTCTGAGCACCAAGTGGAGTTTGCACAACACACTCCAAGCATTAATAAACGCACCACTGACTCCATGTTGCAATCTGGTTTCAAGTATCACGTTTCTCCATACATCTTCTATCGGGAAACATCCCGACTCCGTCCAAGATGTCACGATCTATAAAACTAATAACATTCACCCCAACGCCCGATTCTGGATTATTTGGTTTTCATTGTACACAGATGTAATGTTGCCATGTCGTTTATAAAATGCACTTTTAGTTTAATCATTTTCCAGAGTTAAATAGGTTTGGGGGGGGGGGGAGGACTTTACCTACACAAATTGACAGAGCACTCGTACTTTTAGAAAAAAAGGGAAGAAGGTCCACAATGTTCAGTAAATACCGTACGGTTTCATGAACACGCTAACATGTTTTTAAACTCGGGCCTTCAGGTTCTTGGATCTGGTTACGTTTAAAAGTGCAAAACTAATGAACAAATGCAGAATTTTCTGGCAGCAGAGCAGCATGCTCTGAGACAGCAAAGAGAACATGAGCAAGGAGGTAAATTTGATTTAAAAAACTATGTTTGAACTTCTCTGAAGGGGACGTTTTATTTTGGAAAGGCTGAGACGCTGAATTTAAGCTAACGGTAAAGGTAAAATATAAATACAGGATGCAAGAGATCTTGTTGAAATGATGCCTTCACAACATTTGTGAACGATTTGGGCAAAAAGAGTTTTAATGAGGGCAGCACGGTGGCGCAGTTGGTAGAGCTGTTGCCTCTCAGCGCAAAGGTCGCCGGTTCAAATCCCGGCTTGGGACTTTTCTGGGTGGAGTTTGGATGTTTGCATGGCCCCCATGACCAGAAAAGGAAGAAGCGGGTAAAGATAATGGATGGATAGATGGAGTCTTAATGAGCACAGGCAGCAGAGCAAATTAAAAGAAAAACAAGAAAATATTGATTTTCGCCGTAAATGCGATTTGCATAAAACGAGTCCATAAAGACACAATTTAGTAATCCCAGTAACTAAAACCCCATGTACCATATTTTCCAGATTATACATCGTCCCCGTGTCTGGCTGGCTCCCGCTGGGCGCATTTCCACCGTGGCGTTGCGACGTGACCGGCTCTGGGTCGGACTGGAAGGGTCCGGGAACAAAGGTGATTTGTGGCTCTGGCCACGAGCTCTACAGCATCCCCCTGCCTGCACCTCGCCACTTCCCAGGACCGTGGACCACGTGCCTCGCTGTGCCCTTCCTCCCCTCTCCGAAGGGATGGAACACGGCTGCCGACCGGTGCAAACAAATAATTGTTTTTAGATGTTAATCTTGTTAAAATTCAAAGAGCTGCAACAGCAAATCATCCTGTGCGCGCTCCCACGGCCGTCAATTGATTTCTGGCACCAGCCCACGTTTCCCGGGTGCAAGGGGTCAGCGGCGACGCATAATAAATGCGACTTATACTCTGAAGCGACTTATATACGATTTTCCTCTTCTTGAGGCATTTTTTGACTGATGTGGCCTTTACTCAGGAAAGACGTATAGCCTGGAAAATATGGTACTCTTCCTAATTTACCTTTAAATCTATATTTCCTAACAAGTGTCTTTGGAAATAATGCTGTGTCTTATCACTCTTAGTTTCCTGTAAAACAAACAATTTTTCTTAGCTGGAAATCCCTACATATAATACTTGTAAAGCTCCCCTTTCAAACAGGCACTCAGATTAAAAAAATAGTTTACTGCCAGGTGATAAATCGTCAAATTTCAACAAACTGCAAATTATTTAGATGATTTAAGGATGGAGAATTTAAAATTATGGTGACCTGGTTTTACTTCTGTTGATGTTTTTGTGTTTATAATCAGAATCACATCATAACACACAAGCACAGTTAAAATCAAGTTGTGCAAAAATATCGACATTATTATTTAATGAAATAACAGCAATGTAATCCCAGCCTTCATAAACGTTAATGAGCACAACAGTTTTTCTTTGTTGTTACTGCTGCGCCGATAAAAGTTGTGTAAACCTTCGGCGACTGAAGATCCGAGGCCATAAAGTCCAGAAACCGAAGCCCTGAAGGCTTTCAGCTGCAGCGTTTTAGTCTCACTTCGACTTTTATCCTGAGCATTTGTCTCGGTTTACAGCACACATGGGTTCTGAGGGCTCCAACTACCTAATCAGTGCAACCGCAAAGCCGCGACTCCATCTTTGGCTTTAATCGAAAATAGTTTTGAAGCAACTTGTCGTCACATCGCACCAGGGATTTTATGGTTTCCAGGAGTAAAACAGATTAAAATTTATTTAATACGCATCTGAAGTTGGAAGAGATTTGGGAGATAAATATAAAAAAGGGGGTCACTTAGTTTAACCTATTTTTATCTTTAGCAGAAGCTCTGAAAAGAAAAAAGAAGTCCAATTCAGCTCAATCTGATCGGGTCGGCAGCAGCAAATAACTTCCAACCCTGCCAGAAGCCACAAGGGGTGAACAGTAAAAATATGGTTTTTCTTTTTCTTTTTGTGTGTTTTGAATAGAGCTAAGATTTAAAATTGCCTCTGGGAACATAATTAAGTATCATTAAAGTGTTCTGCTTCCCTTAAGAGAAACATGACGCTACAATAAAAGGCCGTGATGAAATGCTTTCCTGAAATTTCTTAATTTCAAATTTGAACTCAAACTGCTGCTGCCCACGAGTGAAGCAGCTGGTTTATGTTTCAGATGGACTTGGTGCTGACGCAGCAGATCTGACCCGCTCTGTTCGGACCCTCACCCGTCTCTCACGTTGCCGAGGCTTGTGGATGAAGACACCGGACTGTTGGCGTCGAAGTTTCCCTCCAGGCCCGGATAGCAGGAGGGAGCATCAGCAGACGGAGGAAGAAACTCTGGATTTACTCTGCTGTGGGTCGTGTTGCTGTTAGAATACACACCTGAAACACAGAGAGTACACACATACACACTGAGTACACAGATAGTACACACATACACACTGAGTACACAGAT